GGCTTTGCCGGCGAACCCCGGCTTTCGGCTTCACGTCCTGCGGGGCACTGTTTTGTGCCTGGCTGGCCACGTCCTCGTCCTAGTCCTCTGTCCCTGGGCCCCGCACTCACCGGGCCCTCGGGTTAGAGGGCCACTTGTTGATCTGAAGGTCAGAGGGCACCGGGTAGTGCCATTGTCAAGCTCCCTGCCACCTTCCCCTCGCGAGCCTGCTCGTGTCTGCCAGCCTCTCCCGAGCGGGCGGCGCATCTGCCAGGAAAGTCGTGTTCGCTGACTTTGAAGGTGTAGAAACAAGTGGGGGAAGAAAGCACGAAAATAGTATGTGATTTAAAAAAACGAAACAGAAAAGAGCTGTGTCGTTTTAAAGAAAAGCCGAATGTTTCGAGCTCCCATGTTTAGCTGCATCCTTCAGTCGGCAACGGAGAAGGCGGTTTTAAAGGCTTGACCAGGGAATTGTTTTTACCTTGTCGGGTTGCTGCTGGCCCCAGTGCTTAATCCTGATTTTTATTTAGCGTGCCCCAAGTAAAAACTCAGTTCCCCACACCTGCCCTGGTGAAGAGGCCAGTAAAGCAGTTTGCAGTTTCGAAAGCTGCCTGGGCATCGAGGCAAAAGCCCCGTGGGTCTCCTGATAAAACTCGAGGGCCTTCTGTCTCAATTCCGACCTGTCGAAGTTCGCAGGAGAGTGTCTTTGAGAATTGAATTTTCATGGACTCCCTGACATGGACCATACAGTCAACGTTAATAAATCGTTAATAAGGTTGCTGGGAGGTAGAAAACTGTCATCGCTGATAAAGTACTCTTTGCCGTAGGATGAGACTTGACATAAGACAGATACCTGTTTGACCTCATTCGGCAGGTTTGGCGAACTAAACACCGAGCCGTGGCCATCACTGAAGAGTGTGCTCGGTGTTGGATAGTGTGCAAATGCGGGTCCAGATGAGGGGTGGGGAACCTTTCTTCTGCCAGGGACCATTTGGATATTTATAACATCGCTGGCGGGCCATACAGAACTATCAGCTTAGCAATGAGCCTGCTGTATTTGGTCAAACATTTAATTAGCTCACCTCTAACGCCGAGGCAGGGCTGAAAATGATTTCCCACCCCTGGTCCAAATAGATAACCTGTATATTGCATTTGTGTGTAGAGAGGATGAGTTTGCTTAGGCATCATCTGAGCTTTGCAGTGATTCGGGGGTCTTCGGTAGGATCCCTTTGGAAGTCACAGCTGAGAGAACCGTGCAGTGACGAAGATGAACTGCGTGTGTCTGACTGGATGGTACTCGTAGACAACTTGGAAATCAATTCAGCGTCACTCTCAATAGGATGTTTGCTTCCTTTCATCCAGTGATGTGTCAAAGGATTCTTATTGGTGGTATTTTGTATACATCGCACCAGTGTAGATAATCAGTACTTTGACATTAACTCGGATTTTTCCATAACGTGGGTATGCCAGGGATGTTGGAATTACAGGTGTAGCCAAGGGATAGCCATTGGAAAAGCTTGCGAGGCCATAACGTCCTAGGTCCTCTATGAACTCTTAAATGTAGCTGTTGCTGATGGTGTGATTTATGAATTAGAGTTTAGGCCGGAGCTTTGCCTGTTGCTGGCTGATGGCCACATCCGGTAAGGGGAGTTGGGGGTTGGGGAGCATCAACAAGCAGGAACGGCATTGCTGCCCAGTACCGTCCAACTAATCCAGTAAAATGTATTGGTATATAAAAGGTACAGACATTATAGTAGAGACTGTAGAGGGGTATTAATTTTTATTAGCCTCTGGTCGCTGTGGAGTGGTACAAGCAAGTTTTGTAAAAGTTTATAGGAATTGGTACAGATCACTTCCAGTTGGAGTGATAATATGAGATAGGTCTTTTAATCTACGATTAAAAATTATTTATAGACGTTTGGCACTGAAGGGAGGTTGAACTATAATAACTACCAAAATCTTAAGGACTTTATGCCTGCTACACACGCATGGCAAAATTACAAGTAGAAACCAAGGCTCTTGGCCCTACATTTTGCATAGCATTCCTATGGGAATTAATTATGTATTAAAGTTTTATCATCCAAAAGGAAACTATTTTTCCCCAGGATTTCTAGAGCTTTTTTTTATTAAAGAAAAAAAATTTTTTAAATATATTTTATTGATTTTTTAGAGAGGAAGGGAGAGGGATAGAGAGTTAGAAACATCGATGAGAGAGAAACATCAATCAGCTGCCTCCTGCACACTCCCCACTGGGGATGTGCCAGCAACCAAGGCACATGCCCCTGACCGGAATCGAACCTGGGACCCTTGAGTCCGCAGGCCAACGCTCTATCCACTGAGCCAAACCGGCCAGGGCAAAAAATTTTTAATTCTGTAGCTAGAAAAATTTAGTTTGTACTTAGTTGCTTTAGTTACAGAACTTTTGAAGCCTGATAATAATACTTCGTCATTCTCTAAAGCTTTTCTTCTACAGCCAACTTTGCACTTTTATGTACTTAACTGTCTTATAAATGTATGCCCTCACTCACACAAATTATTAATCTAATCTAATAAAAGAGAAACATGCAAATTGATGTACCTCCACTACATCCACAAGCCACGCCCACCAGCCAATCAGGAGCAAATATGCAAATTAACCCAAATAAGATGGCAGCAGCCACGGAGCTGGAGCAAGCAGGAGGCTTGGGTTGCCCCCAACAATGGAGGAAGCCAAGCTTCCCGCCTGCCCTGCCGGCCCTGATCTCCGCTCAAGGCTACAAAGTTTCAATTACAGAAGATAAATAAATCCCAGATACCTGCTTCCAGCCCCCAGTTGTGGCCAGCCTAAAAACAGCCCTCAGCCCCTCACCCAGGCTGGCCAGGCACCCCAGCGGGGACCCCCACCCTGAAGGGGCTGTGGGCAGCCTGAAAACAAC